AGTTTAATTTCAGATGATCTTAGAGTAATTCTTCCCAAGAAACATTGATCTAGGGATAGGTTTCGTCATAACCAAGTGTTTCGAATTTCCAGTTAGTATCAAGGACTCTAATGCAGTTGTGAGTTAAGCTCCAACCTTAAAAGTGCAAAAGAGTTAGTTTTGCCCTAGTATGGGCAACGACCTTCAGATTACGTCCTACAGTTGCTTATCGTGAGCGTAAAGACCTAGTGTCCTTCTCTCCTATTAAGCAGTCAGTTGAGCAGAAATTATATATAGTAAGTTGAGCAGCTATTCGAGATAGTCAGTTGAGCAGCTATTAGAGATAGTCAGTTGAGCAGCAGTTATAGACATTGTACTTTTATATGCATTTGTGATGTGTTCTATCATATTAGATGTATGCTTAGGTTGTGATGTGTTCTATCATATTAGATGTATGCTTAGGTTGCGATGTGATTTACCATATTAGATGTATGCTGAGGTTGGATGTGCTTATCATATCATATGTATGTTTAGTTCGTGATGTTGCAGCTATAGTTAGACAGTTGGGCAGCAATTATAGTTAGTCAGTCGACCACCCATTATAGTAGACAGTTGAGCATTAGTTATAGTTATCCAGTCGAGCAGAAATTATACACAGCTATAGATAGTGTGCCGATTTAGGCATTTATTGGATGAATGTTTAATCAGTTAGTAAAATGTTCATCATCATATCGTTTCTGCCGATTCAGTAAGTACTTTCTTATATGCCGATGTCATGATATGTTATTATGTTAGCTGTATATTTCAGTGATGGTTCCGGCGGAGCACGTAGATTATTTATGCTCACGCCCCCCACTAACCATTTTTCAGGTGACGGTGTCGAGCGTGGAGTGTGAGCCGATGATGTGGTGGCGGTCATAGCAAGGATATTTTTAGTAGACATGTCATGTATATTTTAGCGTGTTTTAGTTATTATGCCTTGTTGATGCATGCTTACATTTGCTTCCGCACTCAGTATTTCAGTACTTAGAATTTCAGTCTATGCATGCTTAAATCCTGAGATGTTTAAAGTAATGAATTATTCTCGGTTGCATGCCTAGTTGTTTAAATATATTAAAGATTAAAGATTTAAGATTAAAGATGAGTAGCATCCCGCATATTAAAGTTAAAGTATTTTTGAAAATTTAATATGAGTTTCGAAAATTAAAACAGAGCATTCCTTTTATAGCGCGAAAAATTTACTCTGATTTTAGTAAGTTTAGGCGGGGTGTTACACTATATCTATGTGTGTGTGTGTGTGTGTATATATATATATAAAGAGAGAATCTATTTACCAAAAATAGTAACAAAAAAGTCAACTAGGATTTATTGCATTCTATTTTTGACAGAGTTTTTTTTTTTATATTAATCCCCAATTCTATGACTTCACTTCGCTTCGTTCGTTTCCTCTCCGCGCAACGCAATCAGAAAAAAGGTGAGGCATCTGGTGCTAAGCTGTGCGCTCAATGTATAGCTCACTCTTTCAAAAAAATCGATTATCTATATAAGCACCCTAAATTCATGGGTATTGTGGATTTAATTTAGGTAAATTTCGATTGATGCTTACATTTTTGCAAAAGTAAAAAATCTTTCTCATTTTGTTCTCATGTTTTCTTTAAAATATATTAATTTGATTATTTGGACTTAGGTGTGTCGATTTATTATAAGTTGAGATAATTTTATTTTGTAGGTAGTTAAAATAAATAAAAAATAAGGTATTTAATATTGATTTCTAAATAATAATTGTTATTAATCGTCTTCCCCAAATTGTCGGCCAGAATCCCTCTCTCTCGGCCTCCAGATTTCGTGCAGGTTTGCTCCCCTCAGCAGGTATCTGTAATCGGCAGTGGACGAGCTCCTCTGCTCTTCCTTGGCCGCGGCAATATCGCCCTCTGCTTTGTCCCCACTGAATTAGGGCTTGGGTTTCGGCGGGGCGGATTCTCTTTCTGCTCGGAGGCCGCCTAATTTCAGTGGTTACAAGGTACGGCGAGGTGTGGCTTTGCGAGGAAGATGCTTGCGT